TGAGGACTGTAAGGCATGTCTTCTAATTTAGAGTCACAAAATATTCCAAGTAATGTTTCTTACCGGTCGAGCAGTGAGTAAAGTGTATGTGTAGTAATGTATGTGTTCCTAAGTGTGATTACTTGCAAGATCACATTGGCATCCCTCTTGAACAAATAACCATTCTAGTGAAGACTGTAAGGCATGTCTTCTAATTTAGAGTAGGAATGTCGTGATATTAAAAAAATATCGCATCGATGATATTTTTTTTTTTATAAAAAAAAATGATAATATTTAAAATATCATAAAAAAATATCAATATAATTGATATTTTCGATATTTTTTTTTTCAAACAAAATTTGTTATATTCCCACAATACAAACATAATACTTTCTTATTAACTTCATGTTTCTTATTTAACTGGATATTCAATATCTAATACAGATAATAATACAGATTGTGTTAAGTGATTTTAGGAAGACTCGTTGTGTTATATGTGTGTCAGTCATTCGGCTTCGTGCGTCACAGACTACACATTTTATAGCGGACGCCAACCGCTCTGAAGGCACTGAGCTACCCGGAGTGATCAGGTACCTTATGGTCATTTTAACACGATCACTTTTACCCGGTATCGCTTTGGAAATCAGAGTGACCGAAGGGAAAATATCAAAAAAATATAAAAAAAAAAAATATCGCAATATCGATATTTGGGAAAAAACAATATCACGATACAAATACAAAATTTGCAGAAAAAAGTATCGATATATTGATATTTTGTTATATTATCAACAACCCTAGAAATATTGTTTTGTTTATGTCGCAGAGTCTATTGGCCCATTTACAATACAAATAAAAGTGATAAGTGCACCTCGAGATGTCTATTCTGCTGGCGGACATCGACGCCACGTGCGCGGCCCTGGGCTACAGTGATGGCCAGAAATATCAAGCGGAACCTGATGTCGCCGAGGGTCTTAAGGTAAACTAGTCTCTTTATTTAAAACTAGTTAGTTACAACTTAAGTTATCCCTTGCATGCAGCACCTAATTTGGATACTGCGTCGGGACCTGGACAACCACGAGTATCGCCGTCATATGGGCCGCTCCAAGGTGCTGCAAACGGATTTGGTTTACATGCTGCCGGACTATGTGCATCACGAGGAGCTATCCGATCTGCTGATCCGCCTGCTGGTCATCCTGAGCAATCCCACACTGCTGCTCTACCGGGATGGTGCACCGAAGGACAATCATGGCCGCAAAGTGTTCATGGAGCTCATCGACATCCTGCAGAGCTACAAAGCAGCCTTTGCCAAGGACAAAGTCTGGAGCGCCCTGTTCGAGAAGCTGAAGCAGGCCTTGGAAATAGTAAGTTGGTAGCTCGACATTAGTACTTAGGTCTCTCGATAGCTTGTGACTAGAGGCACAAAGAAGAAAAGAAAACAAGGCGACACAACATGCCACAAGTAAGCAATTCGGAGGACACACGAAGCCCCATGAATTTCGGCGGCGACAGCGGCGACGGAGAGGAGCCCTGGGACGATAGGTGCACTTACTATGTGTGCATGGTGTGCATGCAAACTGCGGAATCGCCGAGGGTGAGCTTCTGCGGCCACCACTTCTGCGCCAAGTGCATTCGCAACTGGATTGAGACACAGGAATACCGGGCCAAATGCCCCTACTGCCAGTCCCTGATCGGCGAGAACACCCTCATCACCATACGCCATGCGAAGACCTTACGGAACTCTGGCTCGTGCCGTTCCTTTGGCGAGCACCGCCGCCGGATGCGCATGAGCAGCGACTGCATCAGCGAACTGATCATTCTGCCGGACGCCGGCATGTTCACACGCGGCCACATCAAATATCCAGTGGACCCTATGCCACGGATCAAACCCTTGCCGCCCCAGATGCTGCAGCAGTGGTCGCGTTTTCCCATCGAGCGCCAGTTCGTCTCCCCCTCGCTGCACCAGCGCTTCATTACCTTCGCCGTCTTTCTGTTCTTGCTTGTCATGTACCTACACATGGCTCGTGTGCCCGCCTAACCCCGTTGATGATAAGTTCATATTTTGCTAGCGAGTCAATTGTTTGAATAGAGGGTTACCTGCTCGAGTTTGTCAGTGAGATGTAGCACCCAAGAAATCTCTTTCCAACACATTCAACTTGATTTTTGAATCGGAACACAGTTTTCATTTGTTATCTTCATTGCCGTCTGCAATGCAATTCCCTCAAGGCGCAAGCTTTCCCTCACACGCCAATAAACTGTGGAGCGCATAATTATTTTGACTTATCGTGGGCTTGATAACCATCTACAAGCTACTTTTTATGCCCGTGGGTTGGGCTCCTATTCTAAAAGACAGGCAATTATCGTTCGGGCATTTGCTCAACTATTCTTGTAATCCCTTTAATCTATGTATTAATGGGCAAGCGGGTACGCAAAACTTTTAATGGCCCTTGCAGCTGGCAGCAGTCAAGTTTTCGTGGGGAGAAGGAATGTTTTTCACATCGCCCAACCCACTTGAAGTTTGTTTTGACCAGCTCTGGCTTTATGACTGAACTCGTCCGCTTTGTGGGTTCATAACTAATTTGAACTTCATATCTGCTCGCTTTTATCTTCTTTATTTGTTCCGTGCACTCATTTCCCTTTATCCTTTATCCTTTACTCCCCCAACTTGACTCAACTGCTGCCCAACGAGATCCAAAGATGGAATTTAATTTAAAATATCTCACAATATGAAATCAAATCTCCAAAGGGTTCCACGCACTTGCCTTACTTTCAGCGCCAGAAAAAACCGCAACAAGTCGATTTAATCAACACCCACGACAAGTTGGCTGTGGGGCAGGTTTCACTGGGGTGCCAATGACTACAAGGCACCTTCGAATCAAACGCGTCACAGTTGGCAAAAGGAATTTGATTCCGGCCTAGACGAATCCCCAAAAAATCTGTCGGCAGCATGCGGCAAAAAAAGCTAACCGAAACTGTATGGAATTGAACCAACAGCGGTGGGTCGATACATTGTTCAAACCACGAAGGCAGAAGCCCAGCAACAATGATTGCCAATCGATGGCAGTCTGCGTTTTTCGAATGCTTTCAATTGCTGGTGGTGGTAAAAAAATGTTGCAGAACAATGTCCAATCTGTGGATACTCTTGAAAATATTACAATTTTATCACGGCAATTTCGGTGTCTAATCATGCTTGAACCTTAGATTAATATTAATCTATGTTTTTGTTTCCCAGCATACTATTAGCGTTTTCTAGGGTATTACTGAAAATTCTTTGCTCCAGCTCGAATCAATCTGCAAGTACCCGGCAGATAAAAAAGGATTTCCTGATTTCTGTGTGTGCAACTCATGGACGAGCTCCAGCTGGATTGCCATAAATTTGTAATTGGAAATTTACATTGAAAAGAAGTGCTTGCCGTTTGTTTGTGGCCCAAACTATTTCTTCAGCGGGCAGACCAAAGTGAAACACCGGGTTGATGATCGCAACAATTATCATAAGTTAAGTCCTGGCAACCGGAAGGTAGGAACGTACATCTCAAAGATGAGAGAGCGGAACCATTCGGCAAAGTTCCTAGTCTCCACCATTACCATCCATCGCCCATCACAACGAAATAAATTCATTTAAAGCCGATTGAATCGACATTCATAACACTCCGGGGAGCAATTCCAAAGGATTTTCATGGCGCTGCGTTGCCAAAGAGTCGCCCGAGGATTTCTTTACATTTCCATTTTTTAGGGAGCGCTTTTCCTTTTATTTGTGCCGTTTTCCTCGGTTTTCCTCGCTTTCCCCACTCCTTTTTCCTCCTTGGTTAGGTTAAATGCACGCGAATTTCTATATGGACGCTGTCTATTTGTTCTTGTTGCTGTGTGGCTGTTGTCGTTGATAATGAATGTGTACGAGGATTTTTCCGCTTTTGCCTTCGGCGGTTCCGCCCTTCCTTCTGGGTGCGTGGTGCACTCCAAAAAAATATTCGGTAATTAGTAAGGCTCGAAATACTTCTGTTTTGCTAACTGAAAAGTGAAAGTATTTAACAGCAATACTATGAATGGGAAAATATTTACTAGCGTAAATCCCATGGTTTTTGATACAGTTTTTATATTTTTGGGCATGAAATCGTTTTCAGTGCACTGTTGCTGCTGACTTTTTATGCTTTACTTCTTTATTTGCGTCGCACCGACTTACACGCTTTGATGTATGCGCGGCGAGCAGCCAAGTGGACAGGCGCAGGAGCAGGAGGAGCTACTGCCCCTGCTCCACTTACTTCGGTGCGAAGGAAAGCTTTCAGTTTTGAATGAGCCGCCGCACTCCCCCGCCCTGGTGTTGTTGTATTTGTTGCGTAGGGAAACCAAAAACGGAAGTCATTATTAACTTTGCCTTTGAGATGGGCTCTCGGGGTCCTGAGGTCTGGAGCCCCGAGTTCCTGGCACATGCCTGGCTGTGGATGTGGATGTGGGTCTGGGTGTGGATGTGGATGTGGGTGTGAGAGTGGAAGTGGGTGTCCATGTCGGGACGGAGGAGTCACAGCTGGCTTGTAGGCACAAAAGCCGCATTAGTTGTATTTATTTTTAAGCTCACAGCAGCAACTGTAATGTCCTGCTGCGCCCAACTCTAACTATGGAGCCCATCGCCCTTCCGCCCATCCAACCATCCGCCCATCCAACCATCCGCCCATCCAGTCAGCCACCCAGGCACTTCCTCTTAGCGCCCACACTCTGCCCAAATTGATTTCAACTTGACTTTGTTGTGGTTCCATCGCTTGTCTTGGCCCGAGCCAAGGAGGAGGGCTTCCGTTTTACAGTCGAGCTACATAAATTTGCAATTTAATTTAATTTAATTTCATTTGATTATTTTAACTTGACTCGCGGGATTTGGCGCTTAGGTTTTTACACTGGGATTTGCAGCAGCATTTTATGGCCCTGATTTCTAATGCCATGCTCTGGCTTTCCTTCCAGGCATTTGCGATTCGCAGCGAAGAGCAGAATCTGCTGATTGAGCGCATCCTGGTCCTGGTGCGGAACGTCCTGCAAGTGCCAGCGAATCCGGAGGCCGAGTGCCGGGCGGACAACGATGCCAGTCTGCACGACCAGGTCATTTGGGCGTTGCACCAAACTGGAATGCTGGACCTGGTCTTGTTTGTCATCTCCTCGCCGGATGAGGAGCAGTTCCATTTGCACGGTCTGGAGATTGTGTGCCTGCTTTTTAGGGAACAGGTATGGTAATAAACAAATATGAGCTATGGTAATAAATACTATAAATACCCATTTATGCGATTTCAGAGTGCCGAATCCCTGGCGGACGCCTCCCTGCAGCGCAGTCTGAGCGAAAAGCAGCGGGACCAGCAGGAACTTTTGGCCGCACGACGCCGCGAGCGTGCCCGTCGTCAGGCTCGTCCTCCACCAGGACGCCACTCGCGTTTCGGCGGCACCTACGTCATCAGGAACATGAAGTCCGTCTCGGATCGGGATGTGATATGCCACCAGGCTCTGGAGCGCGTCTCATCGATCGATTTCGACCGCGAGAAGCAGCAGCAGAAGCGCTCCCACCGTCACATCCAGGAGGAGGCGCAGGTGACCCGTCGCAGTGCGTTCACCGTGAGGTGAGTCCCGGGCTTCTCGTAACCCACAGCCATATCCATTTGTCTGTGGCCACTTCCTGCACTTTGGCTCCGGGCCTTGTTCGTATTGTGCTGGTGCTGCTGATGCTGCTGATGCTGCTGATGCTGCTGGTGTGGCCATTAGCATCAGAATTGTTATGGCCACCAACCGAGCGACGGAGCCACATCCCGGCCATTGATTTTCGATTTTACGCTGCCAGTACAGCCGTATCCGAGAGATTGAACCGGAGCGAGTGAGCAGTCGAGCGAGAGAGCGTATAAAATAATATTCAATAATAAATGAAGCCATTTCCTTTTGGCCCTTTCGCTTCTCCCTTTCAACTCCCTCTCCCCTTCCACCCAGCAGCCTGTAATTCCTGCTGTTTTATAGAATCACACAAACGATATTGGCAGCTTGGGGCTTCCAGGCTTCCAGGGTTCCAGGGTTCCGCCTGACTTGGCCGGGCTAAACAATATCTTGGCGCCGAGCGCCCCCGTCGCCGCTCCCCCTAATGGCCACCAGGTGCAGCTATTTTATGCTTCTCCGCTAACCAACAAAGTACTTAAAGGATCTGCCTCCACGCCCGCAGGCCAAGATTCCCGGGCTGACGCTATCCTGGTCTTCTTCAGCAGTTACAGTAAATGCATTCAGTTCCGGTCTTTTTTTTGGTCACAAATACTTGTATATATACCCTAGTTGGTGGGTGAATGAGCAAAGTATTCAAAGTATTTTAGTGAACATTAATGCATTAATGCATAAATGTTGGGTGAGCCACATTACGCTCAAGTCCTTGCCACTTATTACCATGATTGATAGTCACGATTTGAACTTTATATCCGACCCATCCTCTCTAGCTCTTTCCCAAGCCTAGAGCATTTGTTGTTCGTCTGGGAAGTTCTCTGTTCTTCCTCAATTTGTGGCGTGGAGCATAAAAACCGGAGCCGAGATAAAACTGCAGCAGCAACTTGGCGGCGCCATCGGCATTTTCTGAATCGCCATTGCCATCGCCATCGGCATCGGCATCGACTTTGGGATCTCTGGCCGACGAGGCATGCAATTTTCAAGTAAAATCCTCAAAAGGTTTTTATCCGCTGCTGCGATTTGGATGGAACTGGCTGGCAAACATTTTTGCTTCTTAGTCGGCCAGTGCCCGGCCTGGTTTATGGGACAAGATGCTTAGCCCCAGTCGGTTGGCCAAATCTTTAGGCGCCCATAAATTGATGGAGCAGAACAAATGTGACCGGGGCGCCGCCGGTGGTCGTGATTAGACAACTCCGAATGTCCCATTCCGACCGCAAACGAATGGCCAAAGTCAGAGGACCAAGGCGGAGCACGTAGGCGGTAAAGGCGAAAGTTCATCAATGTCACGTGCTGGAGCACCGTGCTCCCCAACAATTTGTTAGCCAACCACAAGTGCATGCTGCAATAAGCCGACTAAGGGTGCTGGC